TGCCCTGCCTCGCACCGGACACGGAGGGTACGTGGGGGCTTTTGCACCTTGCCTTCCCTGCGCGGGCGGGAGGAGCCACACTGGAGGGACGGTCTCGCCGGCCCGGCGGGAGTCTGTCGGAAACCTGTTTGCCCGATCCGCCTTTGAGCGTGCGGCGATTTTTCTCCGGTGCTGGAGCTCGCTGGCGCAGGCCCGTTCCCGAGCGCAGACTAACGCTAGTCAAGATGAGTCCTTCTCTCTCCTCCGTCTCTACGTGTAGTGTCCCTTTGCAATTCCTGATAAAACGTAAGCGCTGCAGGCAAGGCCTCTGCCTCGGTCTCCAGGCTCCTGTTGGGAGAATCTCATTCCCTAACCACTGTACCAATTAGTCTTTATATTATGAACCTGTGTGAACTATCTTAACTGTATGAAATCGTATTAGCTTTCTTAAGAGATACATATTTTACCTTGTATACTGCATAATCATGGTTAAGTCAGCATAACTGAAGGGCCCCAGCTCACTGCAAGGAGGAGAAGGACAGCCCCCCCACCTTGAAGATAAGGACCTTTTGTATCTCGGAATCTTAGAGCCATCCACAAAGAAGAAAGGGTACCACTGGACTACCAAGATAACATCAGCATGCCAGCCCCTCCAACACCTCTCTGAAAACCTCCCGTTATCTGGCATCATAGATAAGTAACTGTAGCAAGACCAACTCCAGGGACACCTAGATAAAGAAAGAAGCGGATGGATGATGGCACCATAGAATTATAGTTGTTTTTCAAAATAGTAGTGTGTGTGTGTTAAGTACTGAGCGGTCATAGAATCATAGAATCATTGAGGTTGGAAAAGCCCTCTAAGATCATCGAGTCCACCCTTTGCCCCAACCCCACCGTGCCCACTAAACCATGTCCCTAAGCGCCTCATCTACTCGTCTTTTAAATACTTCCAGGTATGGGGACTCAACCACTTCCCTGGGCAGCCTGTTCCAATGTTTCACCACTCTTTCAGTAAAGAAATTTTGCCTCACATCTAATCTAAACCTCCCCTGGTGCAACTTGAGGCCGTTTCCTCTCATCCTATCGGTAGTTACTTGGGAGAAGAGACCGACACCCACCTCGCTACAACCTCCTTTCAGGCAGTTGTAGAGCGCAATAAGGTCTCCCCTGAGCCTCCTTTTCTCCAGGCTAAACAACCCCAGTTCCCTCAGCCGCTCCTCATAAGACTTGTTCTCCAGACCTCTGACCAGCCTCGTTGC